CACTCCTTGCAGAAGGGCCTGGAATGGCTTCCCAAGAGCAGCTGGGGTATCCTGCCACCCCCCCACCTCCCTGTAACTTCCTCCCTGGGAAGGGCAAATGAGCAGGCATGACTCGGTGCCAGGCAGGCAAGCAGCCCTGAAAGCAGTTACCCCACCCAACGCATCCCATCTCCCTCCTGACACAGGCACGCTGCTGAGGATGTGAACCAAACACACCCTGGGGCCCCCTGCCAACTGCAGCCCCCTGCCCGCCCCCTGAGAACAGGGAGCTCAGTTCACATCTGCCCAGGAGATCATGTACAGCCCCCTACTCCTCCTGGCCACCACTAGCTGGCCGGCTGGCCAGGGCAGGATGCTACATGCCGGGGAGGGGGCGAGGGCCTCGGGGCAGGAGGAAGGGAAGCCGCTGAGCAGGTTTCCTGCGGCCGGCCCAACCAGGGAGGCCGGGAACCTGCCCACCTCCTCGCCGGGGCGGGCGGCAGCCTGCTTCCCCCACCCTGACAGCAGGCGGATAGCTGAGGCCTGTGTCACCCTCCTAGAAGGAGGGCCCCGCCACCAGATAAACGAGGAATGGAGGAGAAACAAAAAACAAAAAACAAACAGAAAAAAAAAGGACTGCAACAAAACCGGGAACCGGGGTGTGGGCCAGTTCAGGCCTCCCTCCCAGCCGGTTACTAAATATTTTCCTAACATCCTGTCTAGGCCACGCTGGCCCCGATGCTGGCCCCCCTCCCCCTATGGGGCAGAGAACAAAGGCCAGAGGGAAGAAGGCGAGGGGTGACTCCCCACCCCTCACAATAGGGTCCCTGAAGGCGGAAGCAGTGTCACCAGAGCGGGCCCCTCCCTCTCCCCCCTACTCCCCAGCAGAAATTTAAGAAAGGTCGCTCTAGGGGAACCACTGAAAGAAGTGGCTGCAGAAGGGGAGCCTGCAGGCGGGGTGTATGGAGCCGAGGACACAGGCCCCCGGTGTGGGAGTAAGGGCCAAGGTCACCCCAGGCAGCCTTGTGAAAGCTCGGCCCCCTCCCCCACGGCGGCCACCGTGGGAGAGGAGGCCCTCAAGGTCAGGTGGTGAGCGGTACAGGAAGAGGAAGCTGGTGACCAGGCCAAGCTGGCACGAGGGCGGGGCGGCGCGTCCCCTCCCCTCCCCACAGGCCTCCTGGGAGCACGAACAACCCCAGGGCTGTCCAGGGTGCAGGGGCCTGGGGCTGCCACCCCCCGTGGACCAGGAGGGGCCGGCGCGGGTCTTACCTGCGTCTCCGTCAAGCTCTCGAGGGCTTGCATCACAGACTGCTCCGGCCTGGAGGCCTGAGACTACAAGGAGAAAGGAGGCGCTTCAGTGTGCGCTGCCCCGGCAAGGTCGGGCCCAGATAAGTGGGGGGGGGGGGGTGCCCAGCTCACACGGGAAGGGCTGCCTGCTTGTGTGGGGGCCTCTGGGGCACACTGCCCCAGCCATTTACCATGAGGCCCGCCTCCACGGTGGGTACCAGCGTCAGCTTGCTGCCGTCCCCCACTCCGAACTCCTGCAGCTTCCCCGAACTGAGCCGGCTGGGGGAGGAAGGAAGAGGGTGAGGCTACTCAGAGACAAGCAGGGACGCGGAAGCGGAGGCCTGGGGGGAAGGGCTGTGCTCCTGGGGGAGAAACAGGAGTGCTTCCCACCCCCACCCCTTCCTGGCCTCCAGATCCAAGGCCCTGGATGTCGGGGGTGCACGGTCTGGCCCTGAGAGGCCCCATGCTGGCATTTCAGACCTGTTCTGCCCAGGAATTCCAACTCTGAATTGGGGTAGCCCTTCTGCACCTCTCCGTCAAGGCACTTTTCCATCATCCCAGCCCCAGTGCAGCCTTAGCTACCCTCGCTGCCACCAGGGCCAGTCCCTGTTTTCAAGTTACCCAATCGGGTTCTAAGATCGTCTTTGTGGGCACCAGAGGGCTTAGCCTTTAGGCGCTTTGCGGGGCCGGGCTCCCCCTCCTTCCTCCCTGCCAGGCGCAGGCCGCACCGCCGCCGCTCAGACAAAGGAGACCCTCCCCCTTCCGCCCCTCCCCCACCGGGGCCCCTCCGCTGGGGATGGACACTGCGTGTCCCAGGAGGCCCGCGGGGGGAGAGCTCCCCAGCCTGGAGGCGATTTAAATAGCAGGGGGGAGGGGGAGGCTGCGGGGGTGCTCGATGGCGAGAACAAAGCAGGGCAGAGTCGCTAGTAGGGGAGAGCAGATGCGGAAGCCGGCGGGCTCGCAGGCGGAGGCGGAGGCGTCCGGCCTCTACCCCCGCCCCGGGACCCCGCGCCGCGCCGGGACTTCCACCCCCCCGATAAGGGGCTGCCTGAGTCTGGCCGGGGGCACCCCCACAACCGCCTTTGTGCGGCGACCCCGGGAGGGGGAGGGGGTCGAGGCAGGCAAGGCCGAGCAGAGGGCGCCCGAGAGCGCGCGGCGCGCCCCCGCCCCCCGTCTGGCCGCCCCCTTCCCTCCCCGTGCGGCGCGCTCTTTGTTCCCGCCCGGGGGCCGGGGCCCGAGGGGGCGCGGAGCCTGGAGGCCGGGGGCGGCACGCGATACCTACGTGTCTTTGTGGAGCAGCGCCAGGCGCTCCTTGGGCACTTTGAGGCGCTGAGACAGCCGCTTGCGCAGCCCTTCTACCGTCTCGTCGGGGGGCACGGACAGCTCGTAGCGGGTGCCCGTCGTGCTGTGGATGGCTAGGCTCATGGGTGCCGCCTCGGCCGCTGGGCCCAGCTCGCAGGCGCCGCCGGGGGCCCCGCGCCGGCAGCTCCGGGCGCCACCGGGCTGCGGCTCCATCCCCGGCCCGCGCTGGGGGGCTGGGGTCCGAGGGGCGCCGCCAATCCTCGCCGCGCCTCCGGTCAAGGCGGGGGCTCTCCTAACGGGATCCTCGGGGTCTCTGGGGGCGGGGGACGGCGCGTGTCCCCTTGGATAAAGTCCCAGGAGCGGAAAGTAAATCAGAAATAAAAAATCCGAGTGGCGCTCCGGGGTCGCGTAGGCTCGTCGGGGCGCCTTCCGGGGGTGGGGACTGCACTCCGGCTCCTTTCAAGGGCTGCGGGCGACGAATAGGACACGGCAGGAGCGGAGGAGGGTCCTGGAGGAGGGGGCACCGCTCAGGTGGCCACTCTCGGTGCAGTCTGCTGCTCTGGCCGCCCTTACCGGTGCGTCCCCTCCCTTAGCAACAGCCACAACCACCGCCGCCGCTCGGAAGATCTGGGGGTGAAAGTAACACGAAAAAAAAGTTATAATGTATCAACGTTCCGAGGGGCGGAGCTTCCGCCCCCTCCCATTCACTACTTACTCCGCCGGCTCCGCACCGGCCAATCGGCGAGCGTCTAACGCCCAGTCGGCCGCGCGGATCCGCCAATGGGACTCGCCGCGGCGCTGACCCACGTGGCCGCTGCTGCCCAGCCCCTCACCCCTCCCCTGGCCCGGCGGCCAATGGGAGCGCGGCGCGGGCGGGGCTGGCGCCGCTGAAGCCCGCCTCCGCCCACGCCCTCAGGCGCCGGAGACCATTCATATGCCGGGCGCCCGCAACAAAGGCGGACGGCCGAAGGATGCGGGCTCGCCCCGGGCTGCGCGGCCTAGGGCAGGCGCTGTCCCCGCGCCGTGAGAGGCTGGAAGCCGTGGGGCCGCCCCCTGCGCCCATCCGAGAAGCCGCCGCAAGCGGAAGTGCCAGGCGATCCCCACGTCTAGTGGCAGGCCCCGAGGGGCTGCTCTAGGGAGGTTTGGCGGGCGGGCGCCATCCACCCGCGGGTTTAATACCGCCAAAAGGTGGGGCTGCAGGCGGGGCCTGCACCCTGGCGACGTGGCCGGTGTCTGGAGGGCCCCTCCTCCCCCTCGCCGGTGCCACCTCGCTTTCCACCCCCGTCCAGCGGGCCCGGCCCGCTTCCCAAGTCGCGCCCGCCTGAGCCGTGACGTGACGCGGCGTCCCCGGCTGCGCCCGCGCGCCTCTCCGGTCTGCGGTGAGTCAGCAGCGCCGGCGCGCCCCCTGCCGGCTCCTTCCGGGGGCGTCGCCGAGAGTCCCGGGGAGGCTCCGCGGCTGACCCGGGCCGGGGGAAGCCGGCGCGGCTGCGGGCGTCCGGGGAGCCTCGCTAGGGGTCTGAAACCTCTGAGTCAGGGGACTGGGGCCGCACGCCTGAGGAAACAGGCCGGAACACTCACTAATTCAAGGTCACTGCAGGGAGGGGGAGTGCCCGGGGGGCGGGCTGATGTCCTACCAGGGTTGTGCTGGCTGCGCCAAGCCCCTCCAATCCCACGACCCGGGGGGCTTTCCGGGGCTGGAGAAACCTCGAACCCTGCCTGCCCCAGGAACAAAGAAAACTGCACACCCTTTAGGAGCCTAGGGTTGGGATCCCTCCTCGGCCCGCGAGGTCCCGCCCCCCACTCACCAGGCGCAGTCAGTCCTCAATCCCCTCAGTTCCGACACTACCCACATACAGACGGAGGGCACGGTGGCAGCGGCTGGTCTGGGGCCGAGCGGGCGGCCCGGAGCCTTTATCCGCACCGCCTTCCCTTGGGGTGGAGTTTGGGCGGGCAGGGGGCGGGGGGGGTGCCGGGCGGATGGTGACGCACACGGGCCCCCGCCCCTGCCTGTCGGCCAGGGCCCTCGGGCGCCGTGGGGCCTGGGCCACCTGCCCCCTAAGCCTCGGCCCGTAAATGAAGGAGATCCTCCTTAAATGTCGCTGACCCTGGGATCACGTTCCACCGCACAGGCTTGAGCGACCCTTAGTCGGGCTCCCAGGATGACATTTGGGAGGTACCGCCGCGCTCCCTGTTCCACCCCTTTTGCTGCTGCCCCAGGCCGGGTGCTTCCGCCTGGGGGCGCCCGCGGCGGGGGGCGGGAAGGGGCCTGTGTCAGCAGCTGTGGTCCAGGAAAACAGACCCAAGTCATCTGCCTGTTGTCGGGGTGCCCAGCAGCTGCCCGGACAGCCTGACCTCCTTCATCCCTTAACAGTGACCTCAGAGGGCATTTGTGGGGCGACTAACCTGCACCAGGCCTGCCTTGTGCAGGCAGCCACCGCGCGGCGCCATGAAGGTCACATTCAGCCTTCCGCAGCCTGTTTTTCCCGGGCCTGGGTGACATGAGAACCCAACAAGTCTCGCTTGGGGCCAGGGGTGTGGAGTCCTCATCCAGGCCCCACCACGTTGTCCTCTGGCAGACTGTGCCCACAGGCTGGTGACCATATTGGGAATGGGCATGCCCACACTACTCATTTCACAGACAGGAGACCGAGCCCATGCCAGCAGCAGGAACGAGTTGTGCTGTCCCGCATCTCTGCGGAGGGTGCCCCGGGTTAGGGGGCTTTCTGAGGATGATGCTGGTTGGGGGTGGGGCCCTCAGTCCTACTCTCCTGCTGCCCTGAGGAGAAGGGACCCCAGGCCCCACTACCCCATTCCTGCCCACTTATCTGGTTTCTCCTTTTATCTGGCCTGACCACCTCCACCCCCACCCTCGCCCTGGGCGCCCCTCCCAGGTCGTTCTCCTTTCCAGGTCTCCATTCTGCTCTCACCCAATGTTCCCGCAGTCTCCACCTCCCCACCCCCCCACCCGACAGAGGCGCACCCTGACGCTCCCAGGCCTACAGGGTCAGGGCTGGGCCAGAGGGAGGGGCTGGGGCTGAGGGATGCATAGGAGTTGGTCGGATAGGCAGCTGTTGCTTCTGGAAATGGGATCAGACAGCACAAATGAGGCTCGCAAATCAGGTCACGGGGACAAGCTGCGGGGCCACAATTGGTGCCCCAGAGGGGCTTGTGGGCCATGCAGGCTCTGCTCCCAGAAGGGACAGCACACCATCGAGGTCTGTGCTGAGGGCAGGCAGGGCTGTGTGACAGGCAGGTGTGAGGCCATGCTCCCCTGAGTCCCTGGGATGGGGGGACCCAGGTTTTCCACACTCAGGGATGGCCTGGTCTGATTCTAGAAGCCCGACGTAATAAATGTGGTAAGTCAACCCCCTTTCCCATGCTTCTCGGTTTAGGGTGGCTTGTTAGGACAAAGGCATCACCACCCCTCCTGCTTCCTGGCCTTGTGAGTTGCCCCCAACCCAGGCACCTCCAGCTCAAGGACAAGACCTAGCCAATGCAGCAGTTCCCTTGGGGCCAAATCAGGTGCAGGCGCCCCCAAACTCACTCCTCCCACAGGGGCCCTGCACCGTGCAAGGTCCTGGCTATGTCCAACGCTGGGCCTGTCGGCTGCAGGGTGGGGCAGGAACCCTGGCATGGTGGGGGGGCACTGGCCCAGCAGCACGGTGGTGGTCTCTGCCGGTTTGAGCCCCTGCCAAGCCCGATCATGTCCTTGCTCTTATTTACAGCACCCAGGGCCTGCCAGGAACCCTAGATCTGGGCCCTGAGCTGGACAATGAGGGGTAGGGCAGCATGTAGGGCCCAGCAAGACCTTCTCTGGGCTGGGGGTTTCTGGGGTTAGTGAGGGTGGCTGCCTATGACCAGCAGCCCAAGTAGGGGACCCCAGCAGACACCCCCCCCGAGTTGCAAGCTGCCTGAAGGCCCCCTATGCATCTCTCTCACCAGACTAAACCTTGAATGCAGCCACAGGACAGTCACTCGCACAGGACAGTGACACATGTGCACAGCCTATCTGTGCTGACACGCCTGGGGGTGGCCTCCCTGTCACCTCATGGCTGTCAGTGACACACGAGAAGGCCCGGGCTCTCAGCACACTCACCCCCCTGGAATCCCGCCAGCCCTGCTCAGGCCTTGGGCTGGTGGGGGACCAAGAGACCCCTGCCTGACACTTAGAGCCAGGGCGCAGGCCACCCCCACAGCGGCAGAATGGAGGTGGGGCCCCACAACAGCTGTGCACCAGGCTGCCCCCACCCAGCCACCCCACCCCACCCCATCTGCCGCCAGCCCAGGGGCCTGGGTTTCACAGAGGTGCCAGCTGGGTAAGTACAGGGCGGGGCCTCCGTGGGAGCAGGCAGGACCCGCCTCTTCCCAGAGGGCTAGGGCAGGGCCTCAGGCTCACAGGGCGGATGTCACAGCCTCAAACCTGGCAGAGCCCCAGGTGTCTGACCGAAAGCCCAGGCCCGACCCAGGAATGGCTGCCACGCCCCTGCCTGCCTTCCACAGCCTGGCCCAAAACCTGTGCCAACCCTGCTCTCTTGGGGTGGAAGCCAGCACCCTGCCCAGCACCTTTGCTAGCTGTGCCCCTGCACGCCCCCACTCCCCAGTTTACTGCAGACCTAAAAACACTACTCAGGCCACAGCCTCCACACTCCAGAGGCGGGACTGGCATTTTACACCCCTGGCTCACAGGGAGGACAAGAGACCAGGCAGGGTCCCGAACCCACTGCCCTGAGTGGGAAACAAAACCAGCACACGAGTCGGGTCTCCAGTGTTTAATGGGAGTGCGTCCCATGGAGGCACTGGGAGCAGACAGAAGTCTCTGTGGCAAGCTCTGCAGGGGCAAAGGGGTGGCAGGTCAGCTTGGGAGAACCAAGGGAGGTGGGAAGAGAGGCCCCTAGGATGGCAGACCCCCAAGGCCGGGGCAAGGCCTCTGAGATCACCCCCCAGCCACCAAGGCCAGGGGCTCCTCCTCTCTGGGGGCTGTGCAGGGTCCAGCTGGTGCGCTGCAGAAGCTGGTACCATGCTGCCCCCTGGGCAAGAACAGCTCCCCGCAGGTAAGAACCGCTCAGGGTCCCACTGCCCGGTCAGACTGGGCCCAGGGGAGCTGGGTCAGCCTCTCGGGACATCCCCGGCCCAGCTCGGCCTCAGATTCCCAGCTGGCGAGGGCCACGCACCGCCTACTCAAGAGCTTTCACCAGGGCCTCACTGGCCTCAATTCGGATTTGGATTTCAGCCCTTGAGGCCTCATCTGCTGCCCCCGACAGCTCCGACTGCGCCTTCTCCAAGTTCATCTTGGCTGCCTACAGGGGATGGGGTGGCAGGTGAGGGCCAGCAGGGACCCTAGCCTCGTGTCTGCCCCTCCACCAAGGGAGTATGCCCTCTTGTAACCCCAGAGCTCTTGGACTGCTTTTGCCTCTTGGTGCCTCAGCTTCCCTGGGTCACTCACCCCCAGGTCCAGCATGTCCAGCGTCACCGCCTCTTCAGCGAGTAACTGCACGGAGGAATCAGCGTTCACTGTGACTGAGCCGCTGCTCACTGTGGGAAGAGGGCGTGTGAGACTTCTGTGCCCAGCTCCAGCCGGGAGTCACCCAGAGATGGGCATCTGGAGAGAACAAAGGCCAGGAGACCAGGATGCGCACCTGGGGCCAGGGGCCAAGGGCACCTGCTCGGGGGCTGGACACTGGGACAGAGTCCCCTCTGCACACCCACCAGCCCACCACTGAGTTGAGGTCAGGGGTGAAGAGGACCTGTGTCCAACTGCACGGGTTTGAACCCAGAGTGTTGATCAAGTTCTTTTTAAAATCACTTTCTTCTCCCAGAGGCACCCTTCCTCTTTTAGGCCGACCTTCTCCCCACAGGTGTCATTTCTCTTCCTGGCATCCGTGGCCCCAGAAACCATGCACTCCCTCACCACAGCTGGCTCCCAGTGTGGGGGGCACAGGCTGCGTCTCGCCAGCTCCCCACTGTGTTCTCAGTATCCGCATGGGCACTCTGCATGCTTTGCTTTCCCCGCCATGTTGACGGAGGAAGCACTGACCTGCTGCACAGACCCTGTGCATCCTTCTGGCCTCACACGCCACTCACCAAAGTACTTGGAGGTGGTGCCGTCTTCAGCATGCACGACCACCAGCCCGGGCCGGAGGACCTGCAGAGTGGGTACATGCGCTGCTAGGATGCCAAAGGCTCCCGTCTGTGTGGGCACGTCCACCTGCCGCACGTTGGCGCCATTGAAGAACACCTGAAAAAGACACACAGGAAACGGAGTCATTGCAGGCCAGTGCCAGGCTGCCTGGGACGCGGTCTCCCCAGTAACGACACTGGTCGGGGCAGGAGGGACAGAGAGCTGGCGGGGGTCCTCAGGCAGGCCTTGCTGCCTTCTTTGCGCAAGAACAAAATCGACCCAACCGGGGGCGCTTCACCAGGACCTGCTTTAAGAACACAGTGCTCCAACCCAGGAAGGTCACATAAGGATAGGTGTCCGGGGATCCGGAACACAGAATTGGGGGTGGGGGTGCAAGGCCAGCCCTTGGGACGAGGGTTCCTAGCGGAAGGCCCAGGAGGTGGAGAGGTGGTGAGGCTCAAATTCCAGGCCACACATGGAAAAAGGATCAGGAATGGCGTTCGGCGATCCAGGACTCGGGGGACTCCGATTGCGTGGTCCTGATCAGGGGTCGGCGACCCAAGGTTGGGGGGCTTGCGTCCGGACCTCATGGGGGAAGGGCACAGAGCGCGGGTCCGAGTGGGGACCGGGGACCGGCGACCACGGCGGGGTCGCGAGCGCGACCGGCGTCCGAACCTGCGTGGGTGAGGCGAACGTGAAGGACATCTGCCCCGGGCCCGCAGAGGGGGCGGCGGCGGCGGCGGCGGCCTCGGCGTAGGCGCGGGCCAGGCGCACAAGGCGGCGCAGGCCGGGACGGCGGAGTAAGACGGCGGGCAGCATGGCGGCGGCGGACCGACTCGGGCCAGGATAGCGGCCTGGAGGGCGAGGAGGACGCGCGCGGCGACGTCTGGGAGGAGGACGTGCGAGGGCGCATGCGCGAACTTCGACTCCCGGCGGGCCCCGCGCGATGTTAACGTCGGTGTAGCCCCGCCCACCGCCATCCCGGGCGCGCGGCATGCTGGGGGTTGAAGTTTCCTTTCGACCCCAGCTTCCAGCCAGAAGGTTAGTTGACCCGGGAGAGGGTTGGTGGGGAAGACCGGCAGCCTACGTGGAGGAGCAAACACTCGAATTGGATATAAGATTTCGGGGACGTCCATTGAATGCCAGACTCTGGAGAGACTTCAGGGGAACAAGATTCCTGATCTGGTTTGGGGTGTGGTGAGGGGCGTTTAAGACATTCAGCGTAATAAAATAAGCAGATCGTATAGTGTATCACGAGTCAAAAAAGGTTTTTTTAAAGATGGCAGGGTGGAGATATGGGATGGGGAAGGCTGCGACTACAGAGGGTGCAGGCATCCCGGAGCCTCCTTCCAGGTGGCGGGGTCCGTCACGACCCGGCTGCAATCCCCGCAGAGGCCAGAAGAGGGCACCCTGCACCCGGAGATGGGTTTGCCGTGGCACCGCCCGGCCCGCGCCCCCGCGCGCTGCTGATGCAAGTGCGCGTGCGCGTGCGACTTAGGCTCCGCTGACGTCTTCCTGGTCCGCACAGCCACGCTCGCTGCGATGACGCCCCCGCCCCCGCCCCCGCGCTCACGCAGGTCGGCAGCTGGGACCGACCCACAGTCCTCCAGTTTGGGGTCAGGGAACTCGCAGAGCCAGGGCTAGACCGGGCCGGGGCCCTTTCCGGGTGCAGGGCGCAGGGCAAGGGGTGTCACACCTGGGCCGAGTCTGGGCAGGCGCTTTTGCAGACCCCAGGGGCTACGTGCACCCTAGCTCCCTGCCAAGTCCGGGCAGGCGCCGTGGCTGCGCCTCTGCCTCCCCAAGTCACAGGAGGGAGGTCCCGGCCTGGCGCCCAGACCCTCATCTCCCTCACCCCCTCCAGGGCCAGCGCCGTTGCGGCCCTCCTGGTGTCAGTCCCAACACCCTGGGCATCCTGTTCTAGGGGTGCAGGTACAGAAGGAAGCCCTACTTCAATTTCTAGGAGGTGCGTCCTATGCGCAGCGCCAGGCTCTTTCAGAGCCCCGGGCCCTGTATGGAGGCCTGATCTACTTAATTGTCCCATCCATTGGACGATCTCTCCAGTGCACACCCCAGGGTGGCCCATGGATAAAGGCAGCACCTGTTAGGCCCCAAACCTGGGGCTATTATCTTGGAACTCCCTGGTGGGCCCATCAGCCAGGCCTCTCCACCCTCTCAGACCCTAAGACCATCACTGGCTTGGGTGGTTCCAGCCTCATCCCTTGGCATCATCACAGGTGTCTTCAAATACAGAGAGACCCCATCATTCCCTTGCTCCTTCCAGCACGTTGATCTGCAAACACATTTCCTTACCTCAGGCCCTTTGCACATGCAGTTTCTGCTTCAGCCAGCTTTCTGAGTGTTTATCCACCCTTTGCCCCTCGCTCTCTACTCCTTCATCCAAGCTCCTTCCCTCCAGGTTGCCTGCCAAGGGCTGCGCCTAGACACCCAGCTGTGAATGAATTCCTGCCCTTAGGGCGCTCACCATATAGCAAGGGCAGCAGTGAGGAAAGAGCCCCTAGGAGCAAGCAACGGTAAGCAATGGGCAGGACCGTGGGTAGTGCCAGGAGAGGGTGTGCAGGGGCAATTATTGTATTAGCAAAGGCAACAGAGAGGATACTCATAGAGACAACCATTTAGGAAAGAACTGAAGGAGGCCAGGGGGGGAATTGTGCAGCTGAATAAGGGAAGGACCGGCCAGGCTCCTTCAAGGGCAAAGGCCCTGAGGTTGACCCATCAGTGTGGACTTTCGCTGGAGGATAAAGGGGTACCCTGGTTGTGGGGTGTTGCGCACAGGGCCGGGTAGGCTGGGATGGGACCCAGGGCCTAAGCATCTAGAAGCGCGAAGCACGATTGTCTGGGGAGAAGGGGGAGCAGTTTTGGGGTTCACAAGAGGGGGTTCTGCCGTGGTTGTCCTGGTGTCACCTGGTGCTGGGCAGGCCCTGGTGGCACTCGGCACAGCTTGTTCTATTATCTGCTCATCCCAGCAAGCAGAGAGCATGATGACTACTGATTGTGCTCCGCGCATAAGGGAAGAAAGGGGGGAGACATGTGTCTGAACCCCTGGGCTGTGCGCCCTGGGGGACCCCACGTTGGGGTAAACGAAGGAGTCGTCAGTGCACCCCAGGACCCCCGGCTGGGGGGGAGTCGCGAACCGCAAGACCCCTTCCTTGGTTCCCGGTTCCTAGGGACCCCCGGGAAGAGCCCGGAGTAGTGCCGCAGGGGCCGGGGGCGGAGACTTCGCCGCCACGGGAGAGGAGGCTCCGCATGGGGAGGGGGCGCCTGGAGGACAGGCTCCGCCCCCCGCCCCCGCTGGAAGGTAAAGGGAGGCGGTGGCCGGCGCTCAGCGAGCCAGACGGGCAGCGGACGCAGCGGGGGCGACCGGCAGGGACCGGGTGGCACCGAGCGAGTCGGAGCGGGCTCGCCGCCAACGCGGTCACGTGCGTGCCCCTCCTCTCCTCTGTCCTCCCCCGCGCGCAGCGCTCTCCATTCATAAATTCTCCGCCTGATCCGCGGCCACCGGGCGCGGGAGCCAGCCGGGAGCGCCGCGCAGCCGCCCGGCCGTCGCTCATGGGCCGCGCGCCCCGGCGCTGAGGTAGGCACGGCGGGCCCGGGCTGCACGGGGCAGCGGGGGAGCGGACCGGGGCCGCCCCGTCTCGGGACCGCCGGCCCTACTCGGCGATGATGCGAGGCCGGAGGGACCGGGGGAAGTGGGGACGTGCCCACGGGGCTGTGCACCCCCTTCGGCGGCCTGGAGAGGGACCCCCCCCGCCCACGGTCTCCGTCGGCCTCAGTTTCCCCGCGCGAGACCGCCGAGCGCGATGGCGTCTCTGCCTCCAGACTGAGCCTGCGGCGCCGCTGTGCCCGAGTCGGGCTCTGCCTCCTCGCTCGCCATCCCCGTCCCCGGGGCCGCTGGGGGGCGCGCGGGTGGGCGCGGTGGCCAACCTTCGCGCCCGGCCCTGGGCCCTGCCTGCCCCCAAGAAGCCCCCTCGGCCCCCCTCGGCGTCCTGCCATCTTCCCTGGCCTGTCATCGTCCCTGCGCCGCGCCCCCTCCCCCTCCCGCCGGAACTGATTCCCGACCTACCGAGGCGCCCCCTTCCCGCGGAGGCCCGGAGGGGCCCGGGCCCGTCCCCGCCCGCGGTGCCGAGGACGCCGGCTCGCGCCCCGCAGCCTCCCCTCCTCCGGGCCTCGGTCTCCCCCGCTGGGCGCCGGGTCACCGCCCGTGTGCGCCGGCTCCGCCGGGGCCTGGACACGGGCTTCCCCGCTCCCCCGGGCAGGACCGCCGTTCGCCTGCCGGTCGCGCGGGCCGCAGGCTCGGCTGCCCGAGACCTCGGAACGCAGCCCCCCGGCCCTCCCCGCCCCGACGAGCGGCGCCGAGGGGCGGGCAGGTGCGCGGGCCCGGCAGCGCGGGGCCCCTCCCGACCGCAGCCCGCGGAGGCCGGGCACCGGCGGGCCGGCGGGGCGCGCAGCCATCTTGCCGCCCAGCGGGAGGCCGCCCTCCCCCGCGCCCCCTTCCCCGACTGCCTGGCAACTCGCCTCCCCCGCGGGCCTGCGCGCTCGGTCGCCATGGGAACTAGATTCTTCCGGGCCAGGAACAGATGCGCCTTCTTTGGCCTCTTCTCTCCCAGCAGCGCGCAGCCGAGGGGGACCTGTACCTTCCCGAATCGTGACCCGGCGGTCCCCGCGCTCAGCCCCCGGGCCCGCCCCACCGCGGGGTCCCGCTGCCCCGAGCCAGTCTCCCGGGGCCGGGGCGGCCCTTCCCTCTCCCCTGATGGGCAGGCAGGGCCCCCGGGGTCTCCCGGGCATGAGCGGACGGCCTCAGTTTCCCCGCTCTTCCCAGGCTGGGCCCCTGGCCTAGTGCCACCTTGTCTGGCCGGCCCCACCGGCCGAGGAAGCGGTCGACAAGCACACGCCTCCCCGGGTTGGAAGATGGGGCACGCGGGGATGATCTGAGCGGAGAGGGGCTGCCTCGGGGTTCACCCCACCTCCCCGGGAGCCACGGCCCTGTGGGCTCCTGCCCCCGCCGGGATGGGGCAAGGGACGGGGGCGCCAGAGCTGAGCAGGCCCTCCCCTGCTTCAGGCCCCTCCTTCTAGCCTCACAATGCAGCCCGCCGCCACCGTCGCCACGGCTGCCGCCAGCGCCGCCACCATCGCCCTGACCGCAACGTGGGACAACTCTACCGGCCGCCCCACAGTGAGTGGGCGCGGGCGAGGGGTCTGGCTGGGTGGGGCTGGCAGAGTGTGAACGTGGGGTGGGCTCACCCGGCCCCTGCCTCCCGCAGGCGGAGCCCGACCGCATCCTGGACAGCCACGTGCTGCGGCTGGTGGTCATGTCGCTCCTCGTGGGGGGCACTCTCGTGGTGCTTTCAGGGGTGCTGCTCCTGTGTAAGCGCTGCTGGGAGGTCCACCGGCGCCTCAACAGGTGCGTGGACCCCCACCCCGCTGCCTTCTCCAGTGGAGAGGCCGGGAGCACATGAGAAGTGCCCGGCCGTTCGGGTGTCTCTGTGTGGCAACAGGTTCTCAGGGCCTGCTCCTGGGACTGGCCAGGGTCCTGGGAGGATGGGGGGTCGGGGGGCGGGTCCCAGCAGGTAGGCTCCTGCGAGCTGAGGCCGTGGCCTCGGTCCCACCTGGCTCTCCTGCTCTCCCTTCCCAGAGCCACGGAGGAGGCAGAGAAGGCTGCCGCCACCTACCTGGACAGTGGCACGCACCCTGCGCAAGGTGAGGCCCCGGCCTGGCCCGCACCACCCCTGTGCCTGCTGCCCCGCCCCCTTGGGCTGCCTGACCGTCTGTGTCTGTCTGTCTCCCCCACCAGACCGGGCGCTGCTCGATTCCGACTCAGCTCTGTGTCCTTAAAGCCCACGCGTAGGTGCTCACAGGCGCGGGCTGAGCGAGTGAGTGTGTGTGCGGCTGAGCGAGTGCCCACCCCGCCCCGCCCCGGCCCACCAGCAGCCTTGTGCCTCGCAGGGCCCACCTGGGGCCCACCCTCTCTTGGCTCTCCTCGCAGACCCCGACTTCAGGGGGGAGGACCCCGAGGGCCAGGATGCCGAGACGGAGGGCTTCCTGTCCACCAGCTCCATGGGCCGTCGTGTGTCCTTCAACGAGGCAGCCCTGTTCGAGCAGAGCCGGAAAGCGCAGGACAAGGGCCGCCGGTGAGCGGGGCGTGCACAGGCGGGTCGTTGCTCAGGGCTGAGCCTTGTGCCCCAACACTGGGCTCCTGGGGTGGGTGGGCTGCTCTCTGCCGGGTACCCATCCTTGCCCTACTGGTGCCCAGAACGGATAGGGTGGCCAACAGGCCAGAAATGCAACAAAGCGTGAGCCTGGGGATCCAGCCCTGCCGAGGGGTGGCTGGCTGGTGACGGGCAAGTGTGCCGGACACAGGTACACCCTGACTGAGGGGGACTTCCACCACCTGAAGAATGCCCGCCTCACCCATCTGCACCTGCCACCCCTCAAGATCGTCACCATCCACGAGTGTGACTCTGGGGAGGCCAGTGCAGTCACCACGCCACATGCCGCGGCCACCCCCAAGGCCAGCCTCGCTATATTCCAGGTGAGAGTGCAGGGGGTGGGGTCCCCGTGCCCTCCCCTGGCAGGCCAGCCCTCAGCTCAGGAGGGGGAGGGGGCCTGGCCGGGGCACACTGCGGGTGGCTAGTCCAGCACACCCCCCTCACCTACCCGTGCTCTTTGACCTGTTGCTGCTTCCTCCCCCCCCCCGGCTCTGTCCCACAGCCCCCGGGGAAGGCCCTCACCGGCCGCTCCGTGGGCCCCAGCTCCGCCCTGCCAGGTGACCCCTACAACTCGGCCGCAGGCCCTGCTGACTTCGAGATCGGCCCCTCGGCACCCAGCGCCTCTGGAGAAGGAACCTCGGTGAGGGACCCTCCCTCCCTGTCCCACCCCGAGACGGAGGTCAGCCTCTCTGCTCTGCCTGGTCCTGGGAGGCAGGAGGAGGAGTGGGGCGCACTGCGTGGGGTACACGCGTAGTATCTCATCCCGGTGTGCGCTTGCAGATACACAGGGAGAGGGGCAGCTGGAGAGGGCAAGGTCAGGACCCAGCCCACGCCGGGGGTCGAGAGCTCCAGACACCCCGGGGAACCCCTCTGTCCAGTGCTGAGGACCGCAGAGCTGACCGGCACCTGGCTGAGCCACTGGGAGCCTGTGGGGCCAGGTCTCAGGGGGAGGCCCAGCCCCTGGGCTTAGCCTTGCTCCCACCACTGACCCCCACCGAGAACTCCCTGTTCCTGCTCTGCACCCCACGTAGGTGGCAGGGAGGAGGGGGGCTGCTGCGCCTGCCTGCAGGGCTGGAGCTGCCCCTATGAGCAGACCCATGGCCCAGGCAGGGCGGCAGGGAGAGGGTCTGTGCCTGAGAGAATGCCTCTTCCCGTTCAAGCTGGATGCGGGGGCCAGGAGCCCAAAGCCTGGAGGGCCAGCAGCTGCCGCAGGGCCCGGGGAGCCAGGCCCAGGCTCCGGGGCAGGCCCTGTCCTGCAGTTCTTCACCCGTCTGCGGCGCCACGCCAGCCTGGACGGGGCCAGCCCCTACTTCAAGGTCAAGAAGTGGAAAATGGAGCCCAACCAGCGAGCATCCAGTCTGGACACACGAGGTGAGCAGTGGCCCTGGACAGCCACAGCGTGGAGACTCGGCACTCAGGAAGGGGTCACTGCCCCAGAGGGGCCAGTGGTACCCATTTGCCAGTCGGCACCTTGCCACAGTCTTCGCTGGACCAGGCCCGGTGCTGCACCATGCCCCGGTGAAGCGAGGGGTTTGTCAGCCTGGAGCAGCCCTGGGTGAGCCCTGCTGTGAGGCACCAGACAGCGGTAGCTTTTGTTTCGGGGTGAGACCATCTGCCTGCTTTGGCAGTATTGGAGCTGTAGCCAGAGTGTGAATGGGTGTGGCTGTGTGCCAGTAAAACTTCATTCATGAGGACAGGTTGGAGGGGCGCATTTTGTCAAGCATGCCCACCCAGGCAGATCGTCAGTTCTGCAGATCCTGGTCATGTGGGGCCCTGGATATGGGGCTTCCTTACTCAGCCCGAGGTGGGGCCATGCACAGGGGCCGGCGAGGCTGACACCAACGGCTGTCACCATTCCTGCTCAGGGTAGCTCAGCAGGACCAGGCCAGGCCCTGGAGGCACGTGCTACCCTGTGGAGAGGCGGAGGGCCACAGCGGCAGGGAAGGAAGGGAAGTTCAGTGCAGGTGTGGGGCTCAGCCCCTGGTTGGGGGCCTGGCTCCAGCAGGCGCAGGGAGGGAGGGAGGCTCCCTGGCCTCTGAGCTCCTGGCCAGGGAGGGGAGGGCCCCTGATCGCAGAGCGCGAGTACAGGTGAACGCGGGTGCAGGAGTACCCAGGACCTGTTTGCTGGATGACTGCGCCCTCGTCCCATTCCCACCAGGCCCCTGCCAGGCCTCCATGAGGGAAGGCCCTGGCCCCAGGAGCCCATGGGCAGGGGTGGAGCTGGGCGAAGGCGCACCACCCGTCCCGCGGGCTCCCACGGCACCCACCCTTGCTGGCTGTTGCACTTCAGCTGGGCTTGGTCTGCCACCAGGAGTCCAGTGCGAGTCCTGGCTCTGGCACACCCATGTGGCCGGGCTGCTGGGACCCTTCTGCCCTCTGTGCGAGTCCCCTGGCCCAGGCTGGGGCCCGGCAGGCTAACTGGCTCCCTCTGCACAGGCTCTCCCAAGCGGCACCACTTCCAGCGCCAGCGGGCTGCCAGCGAGAGCACGGAGCAGGAGGAGGCGGGTGCCCCCGACGCGGGCCTCATCCAGTGCATTGCCAGCGCGGGTGGCTCCGTGGCCTTCCCGCCCCCCAGCCCCTTTCTGACCAGCCCCACCGGCCCGTCCCCCGCTCTCGGCAGGTATTTTTCAGTAGATAGAGGTGCTGGAGGCGGGCCTGCGGGTCCCTACCCCACCCATACCCCCTAGGTGCCCCAGGGAGCACTCTCCCTGCCCCGAGGACAGGCCAGGCGTGTCCCCGCCGGTGTCACCGTCCCCCCTGGAGGCTGCCTGGCAGGGGCCACCTCTCCAGCATGGACCGGAGGCGGGAAGCTGGGGGAGACTGGGTAAAGTACAGGGGTGGGCAGGACCCTGGACAATGGCCCCAGGGCCCCAAGACAGTTCACAGGGGGCCGAGGGCCACAGCGGGTGTTGCCCAGCCGCACCCCCACTGCCACCTCCAGGTAGACTCCGCTGCCTCGGGGTCTGTGCCCATGGCCCCCCAGCTGCATCCCGCCTGCACCTGCTCCTCAGGTCTGCATGACCCCTTCTGCCAGCCACACCCCTCCTCCAGGCCAAGGGCAACAATCCTGTGGTTCCGGGCCCCAGTCTAGGATGGGGGCCAGGATCCAAGGAGCAGGGGCAGCGTCCCCACACTTGGGCATTTCCTGGTCTGAGTAGTTAACCTTTCCTATCAGGTCTCAGTCACCCGGTTCCTTATCGACCCAAGATGAGGGGGTGGAGCACCTTATGCAGAGTCACCCAGGGGTGGGGACCAGGCTGGACTCCACCTGGTCCAGTCCATGCCGGCGGCCCCCTCCCGCACTGACATGTCAGGAAGAAGGCAGCTGGGAGAGAAGCACGCTCAGTCTCTGGGGAAGAGACCCCTCGTGCAGGGTCAGGTGTAAAAGACTCCCTGGTTGGAAGGCAGGTGTCGGGAGGGCCCACGGTTTATCCACAACGTACTCCTGCAGAGGAGACAGGCAGCACTGTTAAACGTTACTCTTCTGCTGAGCCTGGCCAAGCCCCGAGGACCCCCACATGCGCCCACCCTCCCAAACCCAGAGGCAGTGCGGCTGGAATGGGGCTGTGGGCGTGCAGCCTTCTGAATGCCGCGGCCTGGCTTACAGGCTAGAGGCGGCGGAGGAGGCTGGCGCCGCGGGAGGAGCGAGCCCCGAGTCCCCCGCGGAATGTGGCGCTGGCGTGGGGCCTGAGCAGCAGACGGAGTCGGATGGCGAGCGGGACTCGGGGCCCGAGCAGGCGCAGACCATCTACCGTGACATCTGGAGCCTGCGCGCCTCGCTGGAGCTGCACGCGGCCGCCGCCTCCGACCACAGCGGCAGCGGCAACGACCATGACTCGGTGCGCAGCGGCGACAGCTCGGGCTCCGGCTCCGGGGGCGCCGCTCCCGCCTTCCCGCCGCCCTCGCCACCACCCACACACCGGCCCACGGACAGCGAGGCCGGCGGGCCGCGCAAGCTGCTGCAGATGGACAGCGGCTACGCCAGCATCGAGGGCCGCGGCGCCGGCGAGGACGGGCCGCCCAGCGCCTCGGAGAAGCGCTCCTCCTTCACGAGCGCGGGCCGCGCACCCACCGTGGGCGGCAGCTTCGAGGGCGCCCCGGACGAGGCCGCCGCCGAGATGCCTGTGCGACCCCGCAGCCCGCGCGCCTGGCCCCGCCGCGCGCCGCGCCGCGACTACAGCATCGACGAGAAGACAGACGCGCTTTTCCACGAGTTTCTACGCCACGACCCGCACTTCGACGACGCGCTGCCCGCCGGCGTGCGCCATCGCGCGCGCGCCCATGCCCACCCGCACGCGCGCAAGCAGTGGCAGCGCGGCCGGCAGCACAGCGACCCCGGCGCGCGAGCCGCGACCCCTGGCACCGACCCCCGACCCCCCCGCGCGCCCCTGCGCCGCGGCGACAGCGTCGACTGCCCGGCCGAAGGGCGCGCGGGAGACCCCCCAGCTGTGCCTGCGGGCGCCCCTATCCCGGCCATAGAGGAGGAGCCCGGCGGCGGCTGTCCCGGCTCTGGCCTGTGCGCCGCGCCCCCACCAGTGCTGCTGGGCAAGCTGGTGGCCGGCCTCGACGGCGGACTCTTCGCGCCGCGCCTCGAGCAGCCCGCTGCCCCTGTGCTGGCCACCGCCGCGCCCACGTCCCCTGACCACAGCCCGGCTTAGGGCGCCCAGGGCCCAGACCCCCACAGCGGCCTCGAGGGTGGCGCCCAGAAGCGGGACGCGAACGCCGGGTGTCCCCGGGGCTAGCGGCGGGCGGCTGCGCCAGGCGCTTGTGCGAAGCCCCGTCTCCGGCCGCAGGTCCGCGAGGTGCGCTGGGTCCGCGTGCGCGGGAGCCTGCACCAGAGCGCATGCGCCGAGCCCGCCAGGGCCGGGATCGCCGGGCCCCGGGGGTCGGTAGCGAGCGCGCCGGCCCGGGTGACCGGGGCCGCCAACTCCCGAAGCCGTTTACCTCACCGCGGCGTGTGCCCGCGGCAGTCCGCGCCCCTCTGAGCAATAACCGCCCCTCCGCCCCTGCATGTGAGCGTGCCGTCCACCCCACCCCCTCGCCGTGCGAAGAGCCCGCGCTTCCTCAGTGTTCGGACCTGACAGAACCTATGGCCAAGTTCTCGAGTTTCCCAAGCTTTATTTATTGCCAAAAACGCGGGGCCGCCCCGCCCGCCAAGCTGTGTGCTGTCTGCGTCCTGCCCAGTGAAGGAGCCCCTGGCTGTGTTTTCCGGTTGACTATAAATATTTGCCGCATGTTCTTGCTCACAGTTTTCTCTGGGCAAAGTCAGCGCAGGCGCCCGGCTGCTGTGCCACAGAGCAGGGGACCTGGGGGCCAAGCCAGGGCCTGCTGACCTAGGGTCAGCGCCAAGGCAGAGGCCCCCTGTGGCCAAGGGCGGGTCCCCCCCC